TGAATTTTTTAAAATCATGCTATGTGCATATATAAATGTATACTAGGAATTTCACATTTATCAGAAAGAACCAATAAAAAATGAATAGATGAGCAAAAGGAAGATCATTAGAGTAAAGGAAGGAGAATGGGGGTAAGGAGAAGAGTAGGGCAAAGGTGGGGAATGTGAACTGAAATGGAATTCCATGTATTATGAACCCAACTACTATGTTTAACTATAATGTTCTAATAAAAATGAAAGTATGCTAAAATAATGTATGAAATTACCTCCAGGCTGTATATAAAGTGTAAGCATATATATGTAATGTCTCCTTATGTATAAAACAAATGAATTGTGTTTAGTCTTGGGCCCATCCCCAAAATATCTAATTTTGTATACACAAATATTTTAAAATCCTGGGGAAAAAAATCAAAATCCAAAGCTCTTCTGKTCCCAAGCATTTTAGATAAGAGATACTCAGTTTTAAGTTGTTAAGCACTTCATTTTTGGTGTTTTTTACATATATTATTCTATATATGGAATTATATTCACCAAGCATTAAGTAGGAATAGAATAAAGCTTTTACAAGTTTTAGAATGCCCTTCACATAATCTTTGTTTAATTTGTAGTTTTTTTACCTTTAGGGTTGAGTGAGGTAGCAGAAATTTGCCATTTTTACTGATTACATTCTGTACTTAGAATTTTTTTGTCTTTTGACTGTATAGGGGTTTTTTTTGCTATTAAGTTTGTGTAAGTTTTTAATTTAAAAAGTGGTGGCAATACACCAGCTAAAGAACAATTTGATCTAGGACAGAGAATGGAAAAGGAACTGACTTAATCCTGGGAAACAGAATCAGTACTAACTCCCATCCTGTTCATTCCCACTGTCCTACTTCAAATCATACTTTCCGCTAGACCATTGCAATAACCTCATAACTGTTTTTAAATTACTGGAAAAAACCTTCTAGTATTCACATATTATTTGGGCTTGTAGGTAGGTTCCCTCTATTATTGTTCTTATTGCAACATTTTTATTGTTCTTTTTGCCTTGTGTGTGTCCGTGTGTGGTGATGGGGTGTTTCGAGGGGGCAAAATTGCGACATATGCAGTCAAGGGGAGAAATAAAGAATGTCCGTGAGCTTCTGTGCCTTTCAATGCTTTATTCACTCAAGTTAATACAATTTCATTCTATAGGTTCTTTTTTTTTTTTTTAAAGAGAGAGTGAGAGAGAGGGGGGGACAGAGAGAGAGAATTTTAATATTTATTTATTTTTCTTAGTTCTCAGCGGACACAACACCTTCGTTTGTATGTGGTGCTGAGGATCGAACCTGGGCCGAGATCGCACGCTAGGCGAGCGCGCTACCGCTTGAGCCACATCCCCAGCCCCCATTCTATAGGTTCTTAATCAAGAAAACGACAATCCTTAGTGCTAAGGCACTGCAATAGACATAATCAATTCATAGCAAACAGTGCTAGATTAATTCACAGCAAACAATTCTAGATTAATTCTAAGCACTGCAAAACACACTTAATCATGACAGGCTAATGACAGACATTCCCTCTGCATGCTAATTTCAAAGATCTTAAACCTTAGGCTTTATGTCCAGCAGATGCACACTCACTTAGACCCTGGTGATCAGCTCCAGAACCAAGGCAGGCTTTTCCTGGCATGGAGTGAATGACAGG